AAGAGATCTTTAAATAATAAAATATTACAATATTTCTCATTTAGAGGAATATAAGCTTGTAAACTAGCATCAAGTAATATTTAGGAGGGCTAAATTAGCAATAATCAAATGCAGGCTCTTATATGGCCTGTAACGAAATGTCTCTGGTAGCTACCGAAGCTAGTTATCCAACTGGCATCTGAAAATAAAAAAAGACATATCCGTGTAAACTTTGAACTGAATTGTTCAGATAGATTTATAAGAAATTACTTCATTTCTGTAAAATCCTTGTTTTTAAAATAAACATTTTAAGTTATTTTTTAGCATGAAGGCTACACATAAATCTAAAGAGAGTCAATGAGTCGAAAAAATCAGCAGGATTTCAGTAGATAGAAAACTTTAAACTAGAGAAGTGCATTGAACTAAAGCTAAAATGTAATTAACAGTTTAGTCTGCTATTTTCTTTCTATCGTATCTTCTGTTGTATCATTTACCACAGGTGTTGAGCTTTGGGTATCTTTTTTGATTGTCGTTTCACCATATATCTGATGTTTAGTATGTTTATTTTGTTTATTTATCTGTGCTTATTATTGTTTCTTAGTTGCTTGTCTTCGTAAATAGCTGGCGGATATAAATAAAGATAATAGAAGCTGGTAGGAGAAAAAAAAAATCCCTGCATTAATACTCCCGAATATTCAATAGAGGAGGAAAAAAAACATCATAAAACAATCTAGCTGGAAATGTTCTGACATATTAAAAGAAATAATTGCTCCCACAGCATGAACTTCAACTCTATAAATGTTAAGATTAATAATACAATGATAATACAGATTGGTGTGATCAGTAATAAAGTCAAAAATGTATAAAGAACAACAAAAAAAACCTAAACAACATATAACTTTAAAAAAAACAAAGAACTCAAAACATTTTTTTTATCTCGTAAATGAAAGAGTACGATTCTGCATCAACACTGTAAATAAATAAAGGAAATTACTGAGCATTATATTTGCAGGTTACTAAGCAACCCCCAGGGAGAAGGCATGCAGGGTGAACATGGCTGCCACATATGACTTCAGAAGCCAAACATTGTCAGCGTGCCAAAAAGCCAGGAAGCCTGTGGTCATCACAGTCTGCTGCTGATGAGCAGGAACTGGAACCAGTTATTAAAAATAACAGCTAACCCTTTAACCGTTTCAAATCCCAACTTTATAAAAAAATTTCTCCTGTGTGTTATAGAATAAAAGGAAAACATTTCCAAATAATAAAATCCAAATAAACTTTTAGCTTGATCTCCTCCTGCCTCTTTTAAAGAAACATTTAAAATAGAGCTGTTTTTTTGTAATCATACTCTTTTCCACATGTTTTACTCCTGAGTTCATCATGAAAACATTTAAGTGTCCTAAACATGATATATCTTAAATCACTGCATAATTTAGGATCTGATGATCAGATAAGTTAATTAGACAAAATTCACCCCAATTAATTAAAAAAAGCATCTTTTTTATGCTAAATGTATTTTTTTTTTTTCATCAAAACGTTGATTTTTTTTTTTAGATTGGATATATTACTGAGTTTCTGGGAAGAACTGGGTCAGAGTGTGTGAAAATAGGCAGCATGAAAACTAGTGTTGCACTGATACCGATACCAGTATCGGGCAGGGCCCCGATCCAGCACTAAAATGGTGGTATCGGCGAGTACCAACAAATAGGGCATCGATATCATTTTGAGAGCCAGAAGTTTATTCTACTATTGTCACCCATTCCTGGTAGGCAATAAAATGTCTACTGGATTCACTTTGTATTAGTCTTTTTCCTGCTTCACAAAGGTAGGCAGCAGCTTAACAAAGCCATGATGGCAATTATTTTACATCCAAGTAGTATGCAGTTCTTCATATATACACACAAATTCAAAAAAACTGAAATGTTAGAACTGTAAATATACAGTCATGTGTTTATATTACTGTTTTTATGTATTTTATTTTACTGTTTTCAAGGCTGCACTTAAAAAAAAAAGAAATTATCTAGAGAGCTGTTCTTTACGAAATTTATTTTTGTTTACACTTGTGTATACAAAATAAATCTGTCTCTAAGTCTCTCACATCAATTGCAAAAAGAAGGTATCGGTATCGGCAAATACTGCACAGCCAGGTAAAAATGGCATCGGTGCAACACTAATGAAAACAGTCTGACTGGCCTTCAAACAATGCATATGTAACTCTATTAGCATCTTTGCACAATTTTCACAAAAGATAGGTACGTAAATTATTGCTTGGAATCATAATTTTCCCTTTGAGCCTTAAACAAAGAGTTAATATACTTCAATTTATCCCCTTTTTCTTATGTCCTATTCAGCTGGATCTCATTCACCTTATTTCCCTATTCAGGTGGATCTTTTCTTAAACAACTAAGTTAACCTAATATTGAAGGATAGAAAGGAAAAAAGGACATATTTTTGAGAGCACTTTGTTGTTGTATATAATTACAATGTTTCTATATCTAGCCTCCAGTCTGGAAGTGATACAGATGTAATTTAGTTATTAAGTACTCCCCCAGCCTGGCTGCAGCAGGATGTCTTTGTAATGCTGAGTTTACACCTTTGACTGGCTGCTGTGACATTGATCCAGATGTGTAAAATCATTAGTGCCACAATTATGAAGGCATTTCTTTGGTACTCCTCATCTGAGGACATTGATGCTGTCCGTGTGTGTGTGTGTGTACCGATGTGTTTGGCATCTGTGGAGCAGAAGAGGTGACCCTTGATTGTAGGGCGAATTTAATTTTTTATGCTATCCATTCCAAAGATTAATTACCTCACCCCAAAATCCCAGGAGAATTTCTTTTTTTTCCCCATTTTGTCCCTGAAAAATAAGCACAGGGTCACAGGAATGGAAGCAGAGGAGTGGAGGGTGCAGCGGCACCCCCTGCTGGATGGGAAAGGATAGGCATGTTCAATTTATAGCATCAAATGCGGGATAAAAAAAATGTTTACGAAAATTATAAACAAGAAATTATTTTCAGTACATATTAGATTTTATCTTCTTCCATTATGTGGTTTTATCATAAGGAAATATAAAAACAGTGACATAAGTTTACACAAATCATTTACAAACATGTATTGCCGTACTTTTTGCGCTGTTTTGATGTAAATAAAAAAAAAAATATTTTAAAAAGATTGAATAATTGTACAACTTTACCGATTTTTGAACTCATTTAAGAGTAAGGTTAATATGTTTTCAGTCATTGAGGAGGTTTTCTAAGGTGGTAGGAATCTAATATGCATGCTTAAATATGTATGTCTCCTAAATCTTTAAGGTTAAATAATCCATTCTTGTAATTAATATTAGAAACACTGTAAAGCAGGGAAGTGGCAGCATCAGGCTGAGGGGCAGTTTGACTTATAGTGGATGGAGATGTCTCTTCAAAGTGTACAAATTTATCTTAAAATCCACCATTTCGGTGTAAAAACAAAATAATTAATTTAAAGCATCTGGATATGAAAATGATAAGACAGGGAAATAATAATGTTATATAATTTTGTGAAATATGCTTAAAGAGCACAGTAACCATCTGGAAAAATACAGAGTTAACAATCATTATTGTTGAAAATAAAGAACCGGCAGTATTTTAAGAGACGCATCAGGTCAACTCCAATACTTCTGGCATTACTTTAAGTTTAACAAGCTGTGCTTTAGTTTGTATGATGGCCACAGCTGTTCTGAGGAGAAAACACAGAAGATGGAGATACTGTACTATGGCAAAAGTTTTTTTTCCTTTTTTATGATGTAGTCAAAGAAGGAGCTGAGAATTATATTGTACTTAGAGGCTTGCAGCCAATAGGATTTGTGGAGTTGAGAAGCTGAGACTCTTGCAAAAGAATGTTCAAATGTATTTAACATCCTCAGATGGAGAGATAGAGCTCTGACTGGGGCAAACTCAGTACATACATTTATACAGCAACTTCCAATACAAAAAAATGCTCCCTTGGAACTATCCCACCCCTACACAAAGAACATTCTCACACTTGAAGATTTGGGTATTCCCAAGAAAAACACTTCAATTCACCAATTACATACATTTTTGCCAGATAAACACACAGAATAGGTCTCCCATTCACAGCATGAAGGAGCCTGTGTGAACTCATTCTTATGTCTCTTTCTGTCATCCCCACTCTTAACTCCCTATATAACTAAACTCCAGCATACAGACTGGTACAAAACTTCTAAACAATCATCCCTATTTAGACAGAGAAAAGGTTCACTGAAAATATCTTATCTCGCAAATAGGCCAAGGAAAAATAAGCTTCCACAGATTCTAAAGCTGGAGGTGCATAATGAGAACATCATGGTCCAGTTGCTTATACAGTAAGCAGAGGGAAAATCTATGATGGGTATATGGGCTGGTCATGGGACCAGGTTGGGCTGTTCTACTTTTAATATTACCATTGAAAAACAGTGTGTGTGTCTCATGTAATACAAACTCTGCATCCACTGCATCCGTGCCTTATCAGGTAAAGATTATGATAGTTAAAAAAAAAAAAAAAAAAACACAGCCTGTTTTGGGAAGTTTTTTTAAATCTTCCCTACCTAAGGAGTCCATTGCATATCAAAAGCATTTTTCAATCTATACACAGAACTGAAAACAGATTACTTCTGGATATGCCGGAATTGATGCTAACTTTTGCCTTGATTTCAGCCTCTTCAGACGGTCAACATAAGTTATACTTAGATACCAATGTATTAAATTGATTTGTTTATTGTCTGACATTTAAATAGTGTTTTTTAGTTCCAGGTAAAACGTATCCAAATAAAATTTAGGGATATATCTATTCCATTTCCTGAAGTTTTCTTTGCTAGCCAGAGTCCAAACGATCACAATATCTGTCAAAAAACTGTTCCAAAGTCTGCAGTCAGAGCACTTTCACTGAGCCATCAGATGCACTCAACAAGAGAGTGACCCAGAAACCCTCCCGCTCCAGGCAGGCAGGCTGTATTGTCTCAATAATTCCGAACAGGCAGCACTCACCTTTTCGATCTTATCCAGCCATTCCTTGTTCTGGGCCAGCTCGGCCATAAAAGCCTGGTGCTTCTGCCATTTCTTATGAAGCTTTTGGGTCTCGTCGCGACTGCTGTCCCTCGCCATCAGCATCTTCTCGTACACCCAGTCCCCCAGCTAGGGAGGCGAAAAGACAGAAAGAGGTGTAAATGTTGGAGAAACGCTGTGAGCAATGTTTGGAAAGATGATTCCCTGAAACATCAAAGCATTTTTTACCAGCAGATGCAAAAAAAAAAAAAAAAAGATATTTAAGACTGTGGAATATATTTGTTGCTGAATAGATACAAACCCTCAGGGGATCATAAACAAAAACAGATTTTGCATGTTTGCCTCACATTGTTTAACAAAAAAAGTACAAGTATTTAGGTTGAAATACAAGGTCAGACAGAAAGTAACTGGTAATGACGCACGGCAGTCACATGTAGGCTGACACACGTGTCACAACAAGCATGGCTGCAGGAATTCACATGTGCCTGCAACATACCAGCTTACATTACCCCCCACCTTAAGATCCATCCACTCAGCAAGCATCCCCCCCCCTACCTGGCACACACAGAGACCCCAGCTCCTGGTAAGAGTAACTCTACATTTTATTCATGAAGGAAAATGTTGAAAAAAAGGGGTGAATTATATTCAGGTCAACATGAGCTGTCTCCCTGATCATCCTCGTCTCTGCCTGCCCCATCTTTATCTCCAACCTGCCTTCCTCCTCTCCTCTCATCAGCCTGGAAGTAGAAAACTCGTTTACCCGCCGTGGTTAACGAGAGCAATCCGGGGGGTTGTGGCAGCTAAAGGCAGCCCCTGATGTCAGCATCCTCGCTCTTCTGCCGATAGATATACACATGCAAAGATTTTCCTCGCTGCTTCAAAGCAGGGCTGAGCGAAATGAAACCATGGAGCGGAGAGAAGGTAAAAAAGAAAAGGATCCAAACACGAGCCGGTGACTCAAAGCTGAGAGGAAAACGGTAAAGAATGATAACAGTGAGGGAGAAAAGGATGCTTGCTCTGATGATGCTGAGGACTCACTGTTCATCCAACCAGGAGAGGATGCAGGGATGGGGGTGGATCAGTATTGAGTGTGAGCATGAGGATGACTGAGTGAAGAGGGGAAAAAAAAATCACCCTCCTCCAAAAAAACAACAATAAAATGGCACTGAGCCCAGAGGAGCCCCTCCCTTGCATCACTCCTTCTGCGATTGAGCGGGATGATGGGCTGTTTGGAGGAGAGATGGAGGTGGGGAGGAGAGGAGTGGGAGGAGCAAGGAGCCCTGGACTGGATTTTTTTGGGGGCAGGGGATGTAGGTAACGCCTCCGGGCTCACCGGTCATGGCTAATGAGGTTGAGAGGAGGCGGGTGGAAGGAGGCTGGCTATAAACAGCGTTAGCAGTGGAAAGGCTTTCAAAATAATTTATTTTCTCTTGCTTCTTCGAAAGTTTTCAAGCTCAAAACAGCTCTACAGCTGCTTGTTTGATCTCCCTCCTCCTGCCCTGCATGCTGTCTCCCTCTCTCTGCAGCTGCACTCTCCGATTCCAGCCCGCCTGACGCTGCGGCAGTGATGAAGCAGAGAGAAAGGATAGAAGAGAGAGAAAGAGCAGAAGAGAAGCAGATTCCCTGTTTTTATGAATCGGGGCTGGTTTTCACACATCATCACCTCTTCTTGGAGTTCTCACACTCCATCTGTGCACTGTGCAGACATGTCGGGAAGCAGACAGCAGAAAATAGGCAGCTCACTTCTTTGGAGGCTGACAGGAGTAGGTGCATGGCTGCATATAGCGGTTGCACAAACCCGGCACAGGTTTGCAGTCTGATAGGAGGATGAGGGGCTGAAGAGGATGAGATAGAGTAGTGCTTAACAAAAGGATGCAGAGGATAAAAGGAGGAAGGTCGAAGGAGGACTCATATTTCCTCATCATGTTGGTTTTCAAAGTTCAATCCAAACAGTAAATATGAAAAAGGTCCATTTTGACAAACCCTCAAACACAGAGATGAGTTTAATACAATTACTCATGTTTGTGTTCCCCCACAATAGATTCCATCTGATTAGGATTTATGTGACCTTTTAATGCTTTAGACCATCAACCTAAAGTTGATGTTACACAGGAATAATATATAAAATTATTATCTTATCAGTGAACCAATCCAGACCTTTTTTTAAAAGCATAAATACTGCAGAGTTCTGAATTGGTTCTGGTTCAGGTAACCCAACTAAGATCCCGGACTGATTACTGTCAGGCCCGGACCATAAAGAAGTAATATAAAAGCAAAATTATCTCAAATCCACTTGAAATGTTGCAGCAATAACAGACTAATTTTATTTAATATCACTTCAATAAAGCTGAATACAAATAAATCTGAAAATAAGAGAGTAGGGATGCACTGATCCCATTCTCGGATCGGATATCCGAGTATAATTAGCTGTATTTTTATTGAAATTATGGACACCAATACCATGTACAACGATCTGGTGAATAAAATTGTATGATTGCAACGCTGATTGCATGATTTCACAGAGCACAAACAAGAGCTAGCGATAATTCTGTGATAATTTGAGAGCTTTTTTAAAAAATGTTCAAGCATGGTTCAACAATAATATTGGATCGGTATCGATACACGCAGTCCATGTATCGATACTAAATTGTATTAAAGAAAACGGATCGGTGCATCTCTAGAAGAGAGAGCTAGAATTTCTGATCTTATAAGTAAAACTAAAGAGGACTAATATTTAGTAATTACAGTTAATGCTTTTATTCCAGTAAAGGAAAGGAAGCAGATTAGTCATGTGACGTTTGTTTGGTCATGTGACAGTGGTGTAGCAACCGGTACCGGTAGTACGATCTGTACCATCAGCTCATTTGCGCATGTGCAACCATATATACATCCGGGTCGCCCCCAATTTTAAATTGTAAAAAATATCTAAAATACGTTTTTCCCTCCTCCAAACTAGAATGTGTTAAAGGTTAATAATGTATTTTCTGAGAAATTAAATGCCTTAAAATCCTTTCTGTTTTATCACTCGTCTGTACTGGAAATGGGGTCCTACGCTACTACTGGGTACTTTTCTGCCTTAGGATTTAGGAACATAAATCTAGTATTTTTGAGGGGGGTTTTTTTACCGTCTGTGCTAATCTTATGGTAAATAGTGCATAATCTAAAGAAAGAAACAACTAAAATGCAGATAAACATGGTTTAATCATATTTGGCCAGAATGCTCTGAGCATGTCCGATGATGATGTCAAACAAGCTGTTTAATGGAGAAAATGTAAAAAACATCAAATTGTCTCAGAAAAGTCATACAAAACTTTTTTTTAAAGATGTAGCTTAGCATTCTTTAGTGAGTTAAGGATAAAAATAATGAGCCGATGGTATGGATCGATAGTGACTCTCAGCACTGTGGTTGTTTTTTCATGGTTTCAAAAGGGTGAGGATGCATTTAGGATTCACTATCTGTAAATATAGGGTATTAGACCCAACAGTAATATCCTTATAAGACCAGATTTTTGATAGTGTTTTCTTTGACCTGGAAAATACGTTTGCCTTCACTGCAATTTCTCCTCTTCTCATGTGGATGCCACTAATAACGCCACCTCAGAGCAGCTGCAGCATGGCCTCACAGGACTTCTGAAAACTAGGTTCCTCTCTTGGTAGGCTGAACAATGTCTGAGACCTCTTGCAGCCAAAATAAACATGTTTTCAAGACTCAGACATTAGCTAAAAAACAACAGTGGCTGTCACTGTGCAGATTAACTGCTGAAAGAGTCATGTCATCTAAACTTAAACAGAAATAATCAACCTCTGACAGGTAATCACTGTTACTCTGGACCAGTGATGGCCCCTCTTTTTCAGGACAGGGAGGGGCTGCTGCTTAGTGAGCACAATTAACTAGGATTACTTAGGGGTGCTTTAATTAGGGATGCACCAATCTAAGTTTGACTTCTGATCCGATACTTTAACTTAGATATCTGCAGATCCCAATTCTGTTCCAATACCAGAGCTCTGTTTTTTTTAATGTTATGATCATAACTGTCATAAGCTCCTTCCCCAAAGCCAGTAGGATGTGTATGATTCATCTAGACAAATATAAACCAAAACTGAACTTTAGATTAGTACATAGTCAGAAAAGGGTGCCATAAAATCAATAAACGGGACAAACTATCCCCAAAAAACAAATATGTAGGTATACAGGCAAAATCGATTTATAAAACCAAAGAAACACCCATAAAGGGGTTAACTTTTGTGCTGTTCAAGTCTTACATAACCTAACTTTAATAAATATAATGAATTTGCCCTTACAGATCAGGCCCATTTTTTTATCAAAGTCTGATTTATAATTTTCTTTGATATCAGTTATTTATATGGGTTTGGTGCAACCCTAGCATGAATCAATCAATTACCAATTTGGGCATGATTTTGAGGTAGAAAATAGCATTATAAAACATTTAAAAGTTAAAAAAGTTGATGTTGCATGATTTCCGGCCCTTTAATTACCAGTTACTGAACATGCTGGATGGCGGCTGATCTCACCAACGGTTGCACAATTAGTTGTTGTGTTTGGGGGGCAAATATTTTGTGACAAAAATAATCATATTGTGATTTTTAAAATTGGATGATCAGAAATGTTTAGGTCAAAAGAACCCGAAAGGAGCAGATGCTCCTCACAGTTATGTATTTCCTATGTTTACTCAAGCAAGAGTCACTGGATGAAAACCTTTGATTTAGCCCCAAAAAAAACCAAACTATTAGGACTTCAATGAGAATCATGAACGCAGACATTCCCTCCATCCAGAACTCATACAGGTCTGGGGAAAAGTCAGCTAACATCTCTGCAGACACCACACATCCTGGATGTAAAGTACTTAGATTTTTGCCAGCAGGTCAACAAGTTAGAGCCTTAGTTGCAAAAAAATATCCAAAACACCTCTGACAAAAAAAAAAAAAATCAGTTTACCCATAGAACCACAACCTACCTTTCTGTTTTTCTCTTATTTACATAAAACATTGGCTGTACATACACATACATATATGACTGTTCATTCTATTTTTTACTTTACTTTCTCTGCAGTTAATTATATTTAATGTTTGCACACCGTGAGTACTTAAAACATATGAAATGTTCCCAGTTTATGCACAAAATCTTTGCAAATCATGCTGATTCTGATTTCTTTGATTATTATTTTTACATAAAAGATTTGAGAACAGAATTAAATTAGGAATATGAACTGTAAACAAATGTACCTTTGGAGCTGACTTAAAAATGTAAACATGTTTTAGAGATGGCATCAGTAGCAGAGAGAGAAGAACACAGCCTGTACATTGAGAGTCAAAGTTTCCAGCAGAATGACACAGTGTCACACTAACAAACACAGCATATGACTCTTTGTGATGCCTTCTCACGTATGACTGCCTGATACGTACAGGGGGCAGCTTTACTGTATGACTGATACATGCTGATAGCTATGCAAAGTACTGTATTCACTCCCTATTTTTAATTAGTTACAGTATAAGTAATCAGGCTGCTTAATTATATGAGTTAAACAAAGAAAAATTGTTGAGTTCTTGACCAAAAAAGAAGACTGTGATCCTCCAGGCTGTAAAAGGTGAACCAGTGGGGCCACACCATCTTTGAGTATGTTTGGCTCAACCTGCTGCTGTAAAGCAGGATTCTCCACCATGAACATAATCAAAAATAAATATGGATCCAGGCTCAAAATGAGCACCTTGATATGAGCTTTAGAATGGCTTTGTCTCCATTCAAACCCAGGTTTAAAGCCTTGGAGGAAAGCATAAAGCCCACTGCTCTCATTAAGCCATAAAAAAAGAAAAAAACAACAACAAGTGGTCAGTTCATGTGTTTTATGTGAATCAGGAAATTGTCTATATACCAAACTGAACGATTGTTGTTCTCTACTTCAAAAAAACACTTTAGATTTTAAAATGAAAAAAAAAAAAATAGAATATTTTTTTATTTAAAAATTCAATGTATAACATGGATTCATAAACACTTGCATTTCATTTCAGTGTTAAATTCTGTTTAAAGTAACAGATTATAATAAAAAATGTCTCCGGACCTTTACTGATTGAGGATTTTCTTTATTCGGACACCGCTGATTTTTAATTAATTACCCCTGTGCTAAAACATATCAGCTGGAAGGAATGGCTGTACCTTAGCAAGCTGTCAAAGAAGAAAACGGCTAGACTGGACCACTGCAATCACCTCCCTAAACAGTTTAAGGGTATTTTGAACCCCATGTAAACATTGTTTTTAATTTAATTATGCTCCATATCTCCCCAATTAATAAACAACCATAAAGCTTTTATTTGTACATTTTTCCTTATTGAAACAACCTTCAATATTAGCAGGTATAAAATTCATTTTTTCCACCTTTAGAGTCTAAACACTAAATTTGTCTTTTTAGACTTTATAAGAGGGATTCTACCACACCCCCCATCCATCAACCACAAAACCCTGTCACTGAGGTTCCCTCTTGACTTAAACATAGTGATGCAAGTATTTTGTTTTCCACATATCTTATACTTTATATACTTCTTTCCCTCTCCCTCTGGATAGTGAGAGGATTTTCTGTTATGGAAAGTATTCCCAATACTACCAGCTGTAGTATTCCTACCTCATGACAGTCTTGGAGAAATCTTTGAAGTTCCCATTGGTCATTCAGTTTTTCCAGCCACCGCTGGGCAAGCTCCCTGTTCTTGTTTCCCCTGAAAAAAAAAAGAAGTATTCATATCTAGGTTGACAAAACATTTTAGAGTTTAAGTCATTTGGAGACTAGAACATCCATACACAGACAAAGTTGCTGGTACCCCTCTTTTAAAAAAAAAACATAAACCAACAATAGTGACAGAGATAACTTGAATCTGACAAGATTAATAAATACAAATTCTATGTAAATTAAAAAATAAAAGTCAGGCATTGCTTTTCAACCACGCGTCAACTGGATGATAAAAAAAAAGACACCATGAAACAGGCCTGGACAAAAATGATGGTATCCTTTACTTGGTATTTTGTTGCACGTTATTTTGAGGCAATCACTGCAATCAAACGGTTCCTATAACTGTCAAGGAGATGTCTGCTCCTCCCAGCAGGTATTTTGCTCCACTTCTCAGGAGCAAACTGCTCCTTTTCCAGATGACATGTTTCAGCTCCTTCCTTCCTCTTTTCTGGTGTTTTTAGCAGTCTTTTAGGTCATTATCTTATTGAAACCAAACTTTCTGACACTGGGCATCACATTTCTCTCTAGAATCGCTTCATAGTCTAGAGATTTCCTCCCATTCTGCAAAGGTTCAAGACAGCCTGTACCGGATGAAGCAAAGCAGCCCTGGAACATACTGTAACAGAGCTTCCTCCATGTTCCACAGTATGGACAGTGTTCTTTTCTTGATATGTTTATGTTTTAAGCTTGTGAACATAGAGTTGATTTGCCTTGGCAAAAATTCAGAGTTCATAAGACATTCTTCCAGAAGCTTTGTGATTTATCCAAATGTAGCCGGGCAAATTTCAGTATGGCTTTTTTATTATTTGTTTTTATCCATGTTGTCCTCCTTGGTCATCTCCCTTTAATTCCACTGTGGCTCAAATGATGGATGGTGTGATCTGACGCTGATGTTTTTTGAGCCTAAGTTTCACCTTTAATCTCTTTAAAAGTTTCTTTGGGCTTTTTCTTCCCATTAGTATTACCTGTCTCTTTGATTTGTCCTACATTTCCCTCCTGTGGCCACGTCCAGGGATGTTAGCTACATTCCCATGGATGTTAAATTTCCGAATATGTGCAACTGTAATCACAGGAACATCATGGGGATGGTTTTATAGCCTGTACTTTCAATGTGGCTGTTTATGAATTCTTTCTAATCTCATGAGACTTCTTTTTCCTTCTCTCCCTCTGGTCCATGTTGAGTGTTATATAAACCATGTCACCAAACAGCACAGTGGCCCTATACGTAGGCCCAATATGCTGCAGCAATGCTTCAAAGTAATGCATTTACCTAATGTTTTTTTAACTACTAATGATTCCGGCGTAGCTGTTTATCTGCTGTCTTCGGTGGATCTGTTTACTAGCCAGTGCAGGCTGCACTGTGGGGGGAAGAGCTGTGGATAGCACACTGCAACCAAGGGGGAGGGACCAAAAATGTGTGCTTGTTCAGGTCCACAGTATTTTTCAGAAATTCTACTTTAGATTTAAATAGAATAGTAGTAAAAAAAAAGTGGAATATTTTTGTTTTGTTGAGCTGTGGTGTTTAGGGCTAAAGAGAGGCCAACTATAGTGCACCATAAGAATCGGTGCAAACTGCTTTTTTTAGGGGGGGTTACAGGTACAGGTCTGTGTTTGGCTTCATGAAGTGTATGCAGACATAGAGCACGAGGTGAGTTCAGAATAGTTTTATAGACAAAGGACATATCACGGCTTGGTAATTCATGCTTGGCTAGGTCAAAGCAATTTAGCCTGGTTGAATTTAATATTAATATAGGCTGATATGGGCGGGCATAGCAATAACTCATTAGTACACAGTACATGTCTTTTGGATGGGTGAGCCATTTTCAGTGCAAATCTTAATTTAAGAATTAAAAAAACTAGCAAAATCTGATTTGTACAAATTCAGAACTCTTAAATGCTCATATGCTTTACCCGCAGCGTGGTTCTTTGTGTAAATCTAATTCAGAACGCATATAGATATTTTCATAGCTGTTCCGCCTTCTTTTCCTGCAAAGAACATAACAAAACCTCAGCTGTCACCCAGATTTCATGGTCAACTGTCTGGTTTTGGAGCAAACAGAACCTTTTGTCAGCCTCTTTGTCTTGTTGTGAGTCTCTCTGCTTTTAAAGCTTAAGACTCTATTGTTTGCCAAACTGTTGTGTTTTACCAGCTGCTTACATTTCTAAGACACATGCACTCAGGATGGTGTGCAGAGTGTAAGCATGAGACCCTTGAAGACTTACCTTAGGAAAATTACCTGCATTAAAAGCTAGATAATGTTACCTGACAGCCAATTTTTTAGCTGAAAATTGTCCATTTATGCAAACAAACATAATGACATATATGTCCATTTTATCAACCAACTTAAGTATCTGCACAAAAATGACCCCCATCTTATTCCAGAGCTTCCTTTGGCTTTGATAGCATAACTTTTTAAGTACCTGCTGGCGAGGGTGTCGATACGTTCCCTGATGCGCTCGGAGTAGATGTTGTTCTGACTGATCAGGCTTTCTCCTGCCTCAATCACAGCTTTGATCCTGTGCAGGTTCAGCTCCATAGTGGTGGTAAAGTCCTTGTGTTTCTTTATAGCACCTTCGACTGTTTCTACGGTGGTGGGAAGCTCCACGTGAGCGAGAGCCGATTCCTGAAGATGGACCCAGAAGAAGTGATAATCAGTGTTAGTTATGAGTTACAAAACACAATTTCTTCCTGTTTCTGTTCATTCTATGTGCCTCACCTGGTTGTTTAAGAAGGACTCTGCTTGTTTGACATCTCGTAGGAACAGGTGAAAAATATGAGCTTGGACCAGAACTTCCCTCCTGCTCTCCCACATTTCGAGGAGCTTGTTCCAGCCAACATCAAGCTTCTGGAGCCACTGCTGCAGGGCCGCCTGAGGCAGAGGTGCATCTTCTGACTCTAGAAGCTCATTCATGGCTTGGAGACGCTCATAGTCTTCCTCATACCTGCATCCAGACCGACAGACACATGAGGGAATGAGTGGGATTTCTTTACGGGGGGATGTAAGGAAACCTTCCACGGTGTGTCCCATTGGGTCATCCCAATCTACTTGCAAAATGGACCACAAGTATGAACCCAAATAAAATTTCTACAGTTGGTACTTCCACTTTCAGTACAATTTCACTTTCACAAAAGGGAAAGGGATAACAGGAAGTGAATGATCTGTAACAAACAAAATAGTTGATGGATTTAACAACCCAAAATGGGTTTTGTTTACAGAAAGTCAAAGATAAGCCTATACTTTGGTATGGGCCTAAACACAGTTGAGAGGTTTGCTTTAGGTTGTTTGTACATGCTGCATAGGTGATGCTCAATCTCAAATATTACTCTGATACTCAAAAGCATCTGGGAGTTATTCACTGCCAAAGATGAAACTGAAGAGGGAAAATGTATAAGGTGTACAGGTAGGCAGCAATCCTTCTCCTTCCATTTCCCATAAATGCCTCAATCCGTAAACTGTCGATGCAAAGTCAAAAGGGAAAACATATGCAAGGTATAGGCAGCCGTCTATCTTCTTCTTTTAACTGTATGAGCCCTGGAGCCCCTCCGTACATCAAGTTATGGTCTGCCACACCCTTTTTAAACACCCACTTCCCTTCCACTATTTTCCCACACGGTTAACTTTTTGTGCACAGATTCACTTCATGGACAAAGGAAATGCTTTGAAAATTCAGACGGACAAGCACCGCGTTCCTATGAGCAGTTGGGGCTGAGATGGCCACGTCAGTCAATATTTTTTTCAGATTTTTAGGACCGCCGGCAGCAAAAGTGAGGGTGAGGTTAAGTTGTGACAAAAGTCTAGCCGTGCTTACTATGACTGGGTATGGCCGTATATACACTTGCCCATCATACATCAGTTATACTCAGGAAAACACTGCAATGATGGAGTTCTGTTGCAGAACAGCCACTTACCGTCCGATCTCCTCTTTGAGAGCAGCATGTTTGTTGATGAGTTTCTCTGCCTCTTCCAAATCATTGGGAAGTTGATCAGACGCAGCAGCCGTCTGGGTCTGGACCAGCCAGGTTAGGAAGGAGTCCAGATCCTGATGAGACAGGTTGCCCAACAGAATTTCAGTCAAGTTTAGACTTCATTAGTCCATTTCAACAGCCTTAATATTTTATGTATTGTGGATTTGCTGCTATGCTTGGGATTATTGTCCTGTTAATAACCCCGGCTTCTGTACAACAGTTGGCCTCATATTTCACTTAAAATACTTGGTACCGGGTGCACCAACTCATTGCTTAATTGCAGGATTGATTCCTATTCCTGCAATCTAACTACAAAAATCTGTGCTCAGCAAATTGTTAATAAAGACTAAATGAACAACTCTAAAATTGTTTTAAATCCTAATACTGATATTAGGAAATGACACATTGAAGCATGTTAGCTTTTTTCTTTTTGGATGAATTTTGTGTGAGTACTTTTTTTTTTTTGTTTAGTTTTTACGGCACTAGTGGCTTGTTTTATCAACAGCAGGCTGACAGGAAAGGGGATATGAGAGAGGGGGAGAGACATGTGGCAAAGGACCACACGTCGGATTCAAACCCGGGTCGACCGCGTCGAGGACTAAGGCCTCTTTACATGGGTTGTGCGCGTACAGTACTTTTAATGATAAAGACACTGAATGTGACTTAATTAAGTCTTTCTTTCTGTGACGTCATGTCAATTTGCAACTGTGGATAGATGTTAAAATAGCTTGGTGGATGGAGTGGAAGTCACAGTGCCATAGATTATTAACAATTATTAACAATCCACAATAGCCACTGACGCCATTCCTGCTGCAGCAGTATCAAGGTAAAATCCACACATCATGCAGGCGAGGCTTCTGCAAAGCTGATCATTAAATCTGCACCAGCATGATCAGTTAAAAACTGCAAAGATTCAACTCGGGCAAAAAACAACATGACCAGTTTGAATGCGCACAACTTTGGCCAGATCATGTGGATTAGCTGATAAAAAAAAAAAAAAAAAAAGTAGTGATTTTCTAGTATTTTGTTACTAGCTGTCCATTCTTTATTACAATGACAGTAACCGCAGATTTGACCACTTTTTAGTTAACCTAAAGCAATGTCAGTTGCATATATTTTTACGTCAATGTTCTATTTGTAATATTTTTAAATTGAAAAACAGCAGGTATATTTACTTTTGATTCAACCTGCAGAGTTTCTTCTTGCAATTGACTTTAGTTTCACAGTTGTAATATTTTCAAGTAAAAAAAAACTGTGGAAACAGCAGGTAAACCTACTGTTAAAACATTTATTGCACTTAGCACACTTTAATAAAAAAAACAAAACAAAAAAAAACACATTATTGAACATAATAACAGAAAGGTAACCTCCTATTGATTTAATCTGGAGTTAAACTTAAAATAAAATTTGAGTGTTTTTGCTATTATTTTTTTTACTACCTATTTGTTTAGGAACATATTTATGTCATATGTACCTAAGTTCCTTTAAAAGAAACAACACAAATCTATGACATTTCAAGTATGCAGGTATTTATTTCACAGTCACACTGGTTACATTTTTGGCTAACGATTTACTGAATCAATGTCAAGTCACTGAATCGGATCGGATCAATCTAAATAAACCAAAATTGTCTATGAAACGAATCAGCAACTATGAATTGTTTTAAAGATTAACCGATACAGCCCTACTTGGTACACAGAGGAGGTCATGGTCACTTTATTGTGACAGTAGAGGGCTGCTTAGGAGGATTCTGGGGTTGAAGGTCTTCCTCAGGAAGCCAGAGTAACCTTCTGAGTTTCACACCAGGGAACTTTTAGCATCTGCAGGAAACAAACCTCCTCTCCTAACCACTAGACCACCACGTCCCACTGGAATGCTAAGTTAAGCTTTGTCAGAAAAACTCATAATTCATTACCACCAGTACTCAAGTTGAGGGGGGATGAAGGGGATGGCTCACCCTTCCTAAATGCCCCCCCACTCCCATACCATCCCCTGTGACATTTTATTACGGAATGTGTAAAATTTCCACTAC